GCCTCTCACCACGGCTGCGAAAGCGCGCCTTCCGCACCGCCGCACCGGCCGCCCCGCCGCCCCCCCGCCCCCCCGCCCCCGCCGCCGCGGATGCGCGCACAAGAGGGGGATGGTCGCCCGGCCGTCCCATCGCCGCCGCCGCCGAGTCCGCCGCCCTCGCCGTCGCATCCGCCACCGCCACCGCCGAGCCCGCCACCGCCGAGCCCTCCGCCTCCGAGCCCAACGCCTCCGCCCTCGCCGCCGCCTCCCTCGCCGCCGCCTCCCTCGCCGCCGCCTCCCTCGCCGCCGCCCAGCCCGCCACCGCCCTCAACGCCACATCCAGGTCCCCACCGCCACTCCTTGACACCTGTACCTGTTCACACGTTTGCCGTCTTCTCCCTGCCCGCCCGCCCTGCGAGCCGGGCCATCAGAGTAGCGGGGCATATCTCCCCATCTCTCCCCATATCTCCCCATATCTCCCATTAGAGTAGCGGGGCACTTTGGCACCCCCAGCATATCTCCCCATATCTCCCCATATCTCCCCATATCTCCCCATACCTGCAGCAGTAGCCGCACGTGCGATCTCTGCCCCGCCCAAGGCCATCAAGAGTGTGCCCTGAGCGCCTTGCGCCCCTGCCTCTCCTCGCCGCCCCCGCCCCGCCGCCTCAGCCCTCGCCGCCTCCGCCCTCTCCTCGCCGCCTCCGCCCTCTCCCCAACACCACAACACCACTGCCCCCTCGCACATCAAGACCGTGCGGTGCCCCGGCCCGCGCATCCCCATATCTCCCCATATCTCCCCATATCTCCCCATACCTCTCGGTGCCTCGTTCTGCTTCTCCATCTCTCCCCATCTCTCCCCATCTCTTCCCGCCTGCCTCCGCCACACCAAGTGACAGACTCGTCCTCCTGATGCTAGCCACCCGACGCGATGCAGATGCGCGATGTTCTGCGGCTAGCATCTCTCCCCATCTCTCCCCATCTCTCGCAGGCTCGACATCGACCCGGACTCGATCACGTGGAAGCGCGTCACGGACACAAACGAACGCTGCCCCCCCCCCCCCCCTC